TCCTCGAATTGCCTGGCCAGGCGCCCAGACATGGCAGCCACCCACGCCTCGTGTTGCTGCAGCCCCTGCTTGTGCGCCTTGCTGCCCATGCTGCCACCTTGCCGCGTCGCCAGGACAGCGGCCGTCACGCACGCCGCTGCGTCCCTGAAAGCCCGCAGCGCCTCGGGCCCTTTCTCACGCAGCGCCCCGAGCGCGGCGGCGCTGCCTGCGTTGTCTGCAGTGGCGTCCGTGAGGCAGTCCAGCGCGGCCAAGAGCGCCTCGGCCGCGCGTAACGCCCACCTCTCATTAAGCTCTGTCGGCGGCCCCCCGTTGTGTGAGCGCCCGTCCCTGCGCATTTCATCCAGCGTCTTGGCGGCCTGCACCAGCGCCTCGGCGGCCCCAAGCACGAGGGACCGCCTCGTCTGCAGGGCCGCGAGCCGGCCGTCCCGGCGCGCGGTGCGAGTGATGGCGTTGAGGGCGGTGGCGGCAGCTCCCCGCACCGGCAGGATGTGACGAAGGCTGAGGCTACCAGGCGCCGCCAGGTGCTGCGCAACCGCCCCCAGGATGCCCGACCCAGACGGAGCCAGGGCCATCGCGGCGAACGCGTGGCCGGCGGCGACGCTGCTCGTTATGAGGCAGCAGATTGCCTGCAGCGAGTCGCCCGCGAGTGCGGCGAGCTCGTGCGCTTCCGCGCCGCCCGCGGCGCCCGCCGACGCGCTGGCGTCGCGCAGCACGTTGGAGAGCGCGGCGAGCGCCGCCGGGTGCGCGGTGGCGGCCGCGCGGCCGACGGGGCAGCTGCAGACCGCGAGCAGCACGGTCATGGCGTTGGCGGCGACGTCGTGGCTGGCCAGCGCCCTGAGCAGCAGCGGGATGAAGCCGCGCCCGACGATCGCGGCCGCCACGGCCGCCCGCTGCTCCTCCCCGCACGCCGCGACGAGCCGCGCCAGCACCGTGAGCCGGGCGTCCAGGCAGGGTTCGCCCAGCCGCGCCCCCCCGCCGCTGAGCAGCACGGGCGACCCGTCGCCAAGCACAGCGAGGGCGGCCTCCCGCGGGCCGCGGAGCGTGTTGTGGCTCAGCAGCGCGCAGACCAGCCGAAGGGCAGGCACGAACGCCAAGCCGCCGCTGGCCAGCGCGCGGCGCGCGACCCCCATCAACGCGCAGTCCCCTGCGATGCGCTCCGCCAGCGCCACCGCCCTTGCCGCGGCGGCCGCCGCCGCCGCTGCCGCGACGCTGTCCGAGCTGCCGTCCTCCATCAAATTGGCCGACAGCACCCCGAGCAGTAGCAACGGCCCGCCAGCGGACCCACTCGTTCCTGGGGACACTGCCGCGGCGATGAGGATGCCGGCTGCATCCTCGGGCATCGTAAGAAGGTCATATCGCACGGAAGAGTGGCATGCGGACATGGCTTGCACGACTGCGCCCGCAAGGTCTAGCGAGCTGCGGCTGAGAGTGCCGCGCGCAACGCAACGCAAGAGTGCCTGGGGGCACCCGGCGTCCGCCATCTGGCGGGGGGCGTCGGTGGGGGCAAGGAGAGCTGGTTGGTGCAAGCCACTCCACTAGCGAGCAGCGTCGCAGATACGGAAAGAATGCATAGGCCTGGTCGGTTTCCACTTCGGATACACTGCCGTGCCCCCGGTTGTCCAGCCGGAGCAGCGGCCAGCGTTCGCCTCGCCCCTCCTCCTTTGAAGCGGCACCACCACAGCTGTGGGCGCACCTGCTGCAAGCAGCTTGGCACCGTGAAGAAGCAGGCGCAGGCGGCGAGCGCCAGATCCACCTCCGGCATGCTGGCTGAGTTGTCAACCAACATAGCTAGGAGGGATGCGACGGCCGCAGGCCGCAGCAGCAGCCCCTGTGGCAGCGCCGTGCATGCCGCTTGCATCTCTTCCATGGCTTTCGCGAACAGGCGCCGTGTTGTTGGAGCGCCAGCCCGGCGGCGGGCGGCGGTTCGGAACGCTGGGTCGCAGACAAGTGCAAGCGCTGCATCCACGCGATCCGCCACGGCCTGGACGGCCGGATCCATGGCTGAAAGCGTAAGTGATTCTTCCAGAGTTTGGAACTAACATGGGACATGTCAGCCGCGATGTGCTCGGATGTGCCCACGCCCCATAGGGCAAGTCCACGCTGATTGTATGTGATATCTTTGCACCACAAGCGTTGGAGCCTGTCTGTTGTAGACAACATTGAGCAGTGCAGCTGAAACCAGTCCGCTAGGCATGACCTGGCCCACGACCAAACCCGCGCAGCCGCCCCGCCCCCCCCCCCCGCACCCTTCCCCGCTGGTTGTCTTTGAGCAGGGGACACTCCTGGGCGGCAAGCGGGTGTTCAGTGAAACAGTTGAGTGCGACCCCCTGTGCCGCGACGCCGCGGGTGCGCCCGTGCACTGCACCTTCTGCGGGTTTGCGCTGGTGCCGCGGGGCCGTCATCGGCCGTCGGCAGATGACGATGCATGACCACCTAATGCTTCGTACATGGGGGCACAACTAGAGCCTCTACCATGTGAGCAACTTGTTTGAGGCGGAAGCATGAGGGTGGCTTACTTGCCGTCATCAGGATCTCCTGGGCAGCACACGGCGACTTGCAGACTCCCTGTGACCACCGACCTGAACTGGCGTGTCTGGGGAGTGTTGCGGGATCCATTTGAACGTCCATGAATCTAAAACATTTACATGCATTCAAAACTTTCCAGCCGTTGTGTTGTCGCGCCGATGAGCGATGTGCTGAGTCGGTTGGGCGCTCGTCGCAAGCAGCTTGCGGTGACAGCCGTGCCCCCACAGGCGCCAACAGAATCTCCGTTTGCTGCCAGCAATGCAACACAGCAATGCGGGGGCAACTGCGCCTTGGCGCAGGCCAGCTCCGATCGTTCCTTGCTCCCCGCGGCGGGCCTCGCGATTCAGTGCAGCGCTCCGGTTAATGGCCTGCGTTGCCGCTGCAAGAGCCGTCCCGAGTGCAGGTCTTTATTGGGGATGCGGTTGACGCGCCAAGCTTGGCGCTGGC